AATTTCATAAGTTCATCCATCTTTCCACTCAAAGTATTAATTTCTTCAATAACATGCACTTTTTTTATTAGTAGAAGATCTTTTGATGTGCCATTGAGAATAATTTGCCATAATATTATCTAGGAGTTTAGTAGCTTCTCCTAATGTGATTTCAATGAAAGTACCACCCGCGGTGGAATCTAAAAGATTTCTAGATGCAAAATTCAATCCAACATAAAAAATTGTATGATCATCCATAAACTAAACCATGAGTAGGGAAATTTCTTATCATTAACTTCATCCGCTCCCATGATTGTGCAACATGTTCATGATCTAGTTGCATAAAGTTTATTATATCGTTCCTAAGAGAGATAATCTTAACGGGAGGAAAATACTTCCAAATAAAAACATCCTTACACTTATTCCATGAATCAATACTATTTTTTGGCAACGATGAAAACCAAGTTTTAGCACGATCTTGTTGTGAGAACGGAAATAACTTCAATTTGACAATATCATTATCCACATCTTTTTTTCTTTTGCATATCACACCATTCAACGAAAGTATTAAGATGGGATGCAACATCTTCATTAGGACTACCAGAAAATTGTTCTTTCATAACAAGATTCAACAAAGCAGCATTAATTTCATAAGATTCTGCACTAGTGGCGAGAGCAATCGGAGTACTAATAAAATCATTATTATTAGTGTTGAAAAAATCACACAACTTAGTGTTTTCTTGAGACATCATGACACAGAAAGCAATCTAGCACACATGCAAACAAGAAGCAAACGAAAAGGCGATCGGAAAGAGGGCAAATAAAAAGGCAAATATTTTTGTATTTTTTTGAAAACATTTTAGAAGCGATGGAGAGGAAAACGAGAGTCACTTGGAAAATAATGTAAATGCAAGAGATGAGAGTTTATGATAGGTACTTGGTAGGCTTAGTGTAGATCCTCCCAAACAATGCGCTAGAAATTCTTTCTGCTACTTCTTGAACTTGCTATGGTTTTTCCCTTGAAGAGGAAAGGGTGATTCAGCAAAGTAGAGATAAGTATTTCCCTCAGTTAAGAACCAAGGTATCAATCTAATAGGAGGAACACACAAGTCTCCAATAATTACACCTGCACAAACAAACAAATACTTGCACCCAACGCGATAAAGGGGTTGTCAATCCCTTCAGGGTTACTTGCAAGGATGAGATCTAATAGTGATAGATATAAAGCATAAGTAAAAGTGCAAAATATAATAAAACTATATAAATTGCAGCAAGGTATTTTTGTGTTTTTGATTTTATAGATGTGAAAATAATATGATAAAACATAGACCCGTGGGACATAGTTTTCACTAGAGGCTTCTCTCTTGAAAGAAAGCATACGGTGGGTAAAAAATTACTATTGAGCAATTGATAGAAACGCGCATAGTTATGACGATATCCAAGGCAATGATCATGTATATAGGCATCACGTCCGAGATAAGTAGATCCACACCTGCCTGCATCTACTACTATTACTCCACACATCAATCGCTATCCAGCATGCATCTAGTGTATTAAGTTAACAAAAATGAAGTAACGCCTTAAGCAAGACGACGTGATGTAGAGGGATAGATCCAATCAATATGAACAAACCCATCTTTTTTATCCTTAATGGCAACAATACAAATATGTGTCATGTCCCTTTCTATCACTGGGGTTGCGCACCGCAAGATTAAACCCATTACAAAGCACCTCTCCCATTGCAAGAAAAATTAATATAGTTGTCCAAACCAAATCAATAGATCGGAGAGAAATACAAAACTATATAAATCATGCATAAAAGAGTTTAGAGAAGACTCAAATAATATTCATACATAATCTGATCATAAACCAACAGTTCATTGGATCTCAACAAACACACCGAAAAAGAAGATTATATCGAATAAATCTCCAAGAACATCGAGGAACATTGTATTGAAGATCAAAGAGAGAGAGAAGAAGGACCCGTAGATCTATGGTAAATTACTCACACATAATCGGAAGGGCTGCAAGGTTGATGTAGAAACCCTCCATGATCAAATCCCCCTCCTGCAGAGTACCGAAAAGGTCCCCATATGGGATCTCACGAAGACAAAAACTTACAGCAGTGGAAAAGTATTTTTGGTGTGACCTGT